GTGGACTCCAGGCTTAGTTTATCTAGTTAAAATGATTTATGCTCTTGTTTATTCCTACACGCTATATCTTGCTACACTATCTGCTTTAAAGATGGTATTTCTTATAGATTAACCTTAGATTTTTTTTTCTTATTCTACATGATCTCTATAGCCTATCTTAACTATATCCTTGACTTAAAATGTCATCTGTGAACTATGACTCACAAATTTATTTCTCCAGCCCATATCTTTTGAGCTTTATGCTTTATATTCAGCTAATTAACTGTTCCATGTCACAGAGACATCCCAAGATCAGCATACCCAAATGTGAATTTATCTTCTTCCCCACACTTGCTTAATAAATAACACCACCATCTAGTCACTGAATCATGATAAGGAACCTTGTAGTCATCCCTAAAACCTCTTTCTTTCTTATAATCCACATGCATTCCATTGCAAGATCTGTTAACTTTACCTGCTAAGTATGTTTCATCATTTTTCACTTCTACGTTTATTGTGATTCTGCCATCACCCTAAGTCAAAACACTAATCTCCCACCTACATTGCCACCGTAGCCTCCTAACTGATCTTTCCATATCCACTGTTGCTCCCATCTATCTCATTTTGCACAGAGCCATCCCAAGGAATTTTTGTATAAATAGAGATTTTGTCAGTATCACTTCTTGCTTAAAATCCTTCAGTGGTCTCCTGTTGCTCTTATGATAAAATCCAAATTTCACACAGCCTACAAAACCTTGCATGATCTGGCTTTTGCCTGCATTTTCACATGATATTTCTTCTCCTTGGAATAATCTTCCTATCCTCTTTCCCTTACTATAGAGGTACTTAATTATCACAATAATTTATGACTTCATGCTTTTTCAAACAAAAAATACACACAGTATTTACTCCACCCTCTGCCAGGTAACAACCCCTATTCATTTCTCAGATGTCTGCTCAAATGTCACTTTCTGAGGGAAAACTTGTTGACATGTCTTTCCACACAAATAAGTACATTGTGTAATTTTTTTTGCTTAACTTCCCTTCTCCCAAGCTAGTATATTAGTTCCACAAGGACAAGGGGCTATATCTACTTTGTTTAGCACTATATGTTCAGTATTTATCATAGGCCCCAGCACATAGTAGGTGCTCAATTAATATTGATTGAATAAATAAAAATGTCTTAGAAAATCCTCCTTGCCAACTCATGCTTTCCCCGGTGACTGATTTCTTCAGTTACACCCAACTCCATACAGTACTTTATTACCTGGCTGCTTCAAATACTGACTGACTTCTTTTCTTGCTGTAACACCCATTTTGACAACTCATTCTCATCTCCTGGGCTCATTGTATACCAGCAGAAACGTACACAATTTACATTCCTTCTTTCCTAGCAAATAAACAAACCCTTTTGAAGTTTTAGGTGAAATTTTACTTTTAGTAACTCTCAAGGTTTCTTTGCCTTATCTTTGTCCTATCCCAGCGGTCTTGTATAGTCTGCACAGTAGGTTATTTATAATTTTTGCTTTATTTCTTCCACAGCTGCTGCCACTTCCACCACTTGGGCCCAAAAGATTGTCCAGTTTTCTCCATACCTTTTCATATCCTTAGGGAGGATGTCACTGCACACTTCCAGCCAATTTGATTAGCTCCCCAAGGACTGGGTCCTGCTTCTACTTTTTCATATGCTAATTGAACCACCCAAGAGTCAGATGGTATTTAAACCATCTCTGTTCCTTGCTTTTGGAGCACCATTGCTCTTCTTTCCTCATCCTCATTCTTGGGAACAAGTTACTCAGAGGCCTAGTCCTCAGTTCATACTCAGTACTGTCTCCATAGAGCTATTGTAGAATCAATAAAGGTGAGACTGTCATCTGCATTTTTAACACAAATCCCAAGTGGTTATTCTATATATTAACATTTGAGAATCACTAGTAAGAAAGCTGCATTTTTCTGGCAATCTTGTACAGGCATACCTCGGAGATACTGTGGGTTCAGTTCCAGTCCACCAAGGTAAAGTGAATATCAAAATGAAGCAAGTCACATGATTATATTTAAATATACTGTAATCTCTTAAGTGTGCAATAGCATTGTGTCTTTTTTTTAATCCTCACCCAAAGATATGTTTATTGATTTTAGAGAGAGAGGAAGGGGGAGAGAGAGAAACATCGATGTGAGAGAGAAACATTGATTGGTTGCCTCCCATACCTGCCCTGACCAGGGACTGAACCCCTAACCAAAGTATGTACCCTGACTGGGAATCAAACATGCAACCTTTTGGTGCACAGGATGACGTTCCAACCAGCTGAGCCGTCTGGCCATGGCTAGCATTAATGTCTTTTAAAAATGTACATACCTTAATTAAAAAAAAATACTTTTTTTCTAAAAAATGCTAACCATCATTTGAACCTGTTGGAAAAATGGCTCTGATAGATTTGCATGGTTCAGGGTTGCCACAAGACTCCAATTTGTAAAAACCACAAAATCTGTGAAGCACAGTAAAGTGAAGTGTAATAAAGTGAGGCATGCCTATATTCTATGTAGCATCACAGACAAAGAAGTGATTTGGCTATTTTCAGACACACCACCCAGCTTACATTCAAGGGCCTGAAAACAGCTAGTGGATCACAGCAATATGAGGCAAGAGGCCAAAATAATAGCCTTGAAATAAAGAACATAAACTTTGGAGAAAGACTAACACATAAATCTTGATTCATACATTTTCCATGTGTTATGTTACTTATCTTTATAAGCTTTAGTGTTTTTTCATTTTAAAATTAGATTAATAATACTGTCTCATAGAGTTGTTGCAAGAGTTCACTGGAATTCACTCAGTAGATACTCATTGAATACCTACTATAAGCAAAGCACTGTTCTACATATTGCAAATATACCAGCAAACAAAATAGTTTATGCTTTCAAGGACATACATACTAGTGACAATATGTATAAAGAGTGCTTAGACTCCATCATGAAGGAAGTACCCTATAAATGGTTATTAACAAATATTTAAGGATAAGGAAGAGTATATTTGTTTTACTTTGCCACTGTTAGGATAGAAGACAAGTATAGGATATATTAATTGTCCACCTAGAGCTTAAATCTAGATGGTAAATGAAACAGATATTTATTCATTCTACAAATACTAACTCAGTAGTATGTGCTTTGAGGTACAAACATGAGTCCCTACTCCTAAAATCTTCAGTTTAGTTGGGAGTATATGAAAAGCGAGAATTTCAATGTAAAACAGAATACTACAAGTCTTTAAGAGAAGTAGCAATAAAGTAGTCAGAAGAGTGTTACTGCCTTTATATGCACATAAGCATAAGACGGACAAACCTTAGCAAGTAGCAGTGGTAACAGGGCTCATTAGCAATGGCTAATTCAGTAAGGGGATTAAAAAAAGAGTCCCTCCTGCCAAGTAAACTAAGCAGTACATGAACCTTGGCAGTGTTAGCCTGTCTGTGTACTTATTTCTTGGTTAGCATTTCTCATTGTGGCCCTGACTCTACAGCTGAGGCATTATCAACAATGAGGAATGTTTCTGGCCAAAGAACAGGCTTGCGGGGTGGAAGGGAAGTAAAGGGAAGGTCATCATTAAAGTCATGAAGAAATGTTGTTGGCTCCTGGGAACACTAAGTTCCTGACTGAAGCATAAGTATTGGGAAGATAGGGCTAGAAATGAAAGATAGGGCCTGAGCATGGAGGGCCTTGAATGCCAAACTAAGGCATTTTGACTTAATTTAGTAAGACTCTGAATAATCACTGAAGACTTTTGGGCAGGGAAATGATATGATCAGAATTGTGGTTAGAATAGTACATTTGAAGAAAAGTAGCATACCGTAGTCCTCCCTTATCAGCAGTTTTATTTTCTACAGTTTCAGTTACTCATGGTTGACCACAGTCTGAAATAAGAGCGGGGACCCAAAAAAATACCAGAATTATCTTTTGGAAGGTGGGCCTCTTGTAGCATAGGCTTCCCTCCACTAGTCAAGTGTTCTCGGAACCCATCTGTATCTGGACCAGCTGGCGTTGTTGTAAGAAGCTGCATTCAGCTTCAGTGAATTTTTTTGAAGACCCTTTCAACACATTTGCCCATTTCATGATGTGTGATTTATGAGCACACCTGCCCACATTGCACAAAGTGTTCAGAAGTTTTTTGACCAAAAACGGCATGACCCCTGTGCCCCACCCTCCCTATTCTTGGTCTAAGTGACTCTTTTTTTGAAAAAAGTCCTCAAAGGGAAATGTTTTGGTCTGAGAGACTCTTTTTTTGAAAAAAGTCCTCAAAGGGAAATGTTTTGTGGATGTGGAAGAGGTAAAAACAAAAAACGGTAGAGGCACTAAAAGGCATCAAAGTCAACAAGTTCAAAAACTGTTTTGAGCAGTGGAAAACACATCTCAACAGGTGTATTGCGCCAAATGGAGAGTGCTTTGAAGGTAACTTGAAGTTTAAACATGGAAGAATAAGTACACAATTTTTTACAAATGAATTCTTTTTTTTGTGGGCTCTTCCCTTGCATTAAGTTGAAAATTCCAGAAATAAACAGTTCATAAGTTTTAAATTTCATATCCTTCTGAGTAGTGTGATGAACTCTCACTCCATGCTGCCCTCTCCCATCCAGTACATGAATCATTCCTTTGTCCAGCACATCCACACCGTGTATACTACCCACCCATTAGCCACGTACTAGCTATCTTGGTTATGACAGCTGCACTGGTATCCCAGTGCTTGTGGTCAAGTAACCCTTATTTTACTTAAGAATGGCCCCAAACCATGAGAGTAGTGATGTTGGCAATTTGGATACACCAAAAACAAGCTGTAAAGTGCTTCCTTTAAGTGAAAAGGTATTTTCAATAACATAACTTATTACAGTATATCATTATAATTGTTCTATTTTATTATTATTGTTTCTAATCTTTCACTGTGTCTAAGTATGTACAATCATACCTCAGTACTTGCTGGCTTCAGAACTCGTCATACCCTGTACTTGTTGCATTTTAATGAGAAAAAAATGTTTCAGTGTTCACTTCAGCAGCACTGAAATTGGAACAATACAAAAAAGATTAGAATGACCCCTGTGCAAGGATGACATGCAAATTTGTGAAGCTTTCCATATTTTAAAAAAATCAATAATAAAGAAATAAAATGTTTCAGCACTCAGTTCTTCCTTGCCCCTCAGCTCCCCTCTCTCATGATGAAACAAATGTCAATGTGTCAGGGTCACGGAACAGTTTGGTACTCGTCAGCTTCGTCACTTTTTATGAGTTCTGGAACAAATTAACGATGAGTACCAATGTACACTGTATAGGAAAATACATTGTATATATAGGGTTCTGTACTACCTGTGGTTTCAGGTGTCCACTGGAGGGATGCTTGGAACATATCCCCTCATGGATAAAGGGGAACTACTCTACTATAAACCAGAATATCGTATGTGTTTAGTCAGTATTTGTGGAATAAATGAATGTGTGAGCCCTCCTGATTCCCTGGGAATAAGATGCACTAAAAAAACTATGCAGACCTGGATTTCATTTAATGAAGTTGGACTTTGATGTAGGGAGGAAGAAAAATGTACACTGACTAAACATGACATAAATATGTAACCTTTGCATGTCCACACCTATAGAGTGTTGACTTATAGTCGGTTGTCAATTGGAGGCAGGTTTCTAAGAATATTACAGGACTTTCTCTTTGAGAAATTGAGATAAGATTCAGTTTTCATTCCACAAACATTCGCTGCGTGTCTATCGCATTACCAGCACTGTGCTGTAGGTAATTTAACCAAGGATTCAACTTGGAATTCAGCTGTGAGCAAGGAGCTGACTACTAGGGGAAAGAGATGTGTAAATCATTAAAACTGTATTTTAAGTAGTGTTGTTGAAGTGAAGCAAGATATGAAATATATTTTAAGTATATATTTATAAAATTATAGGGCTTCCGGTCAAGGTAGCAGAATAGTAAATGTGGTACCTACACCCTCCCACAACCACATCAGAATTACAACTAAACTGTAGAACAACCAACATTCAGAACCACTTGACATTTAGCTGAACAGAAGTCCGATAATTAAGGATATAAAGAAGATGACACGTTGAGACTGGTAGGAGGGGCAGAGACGCAGCGTGGGTTGGTCCTGCACCCACATAGTGGATAAAAATCAGGAGGGATGTCTCAGCTGTGCAGATCCCCACTGAAGAGCAAGGGGTCCCATCCTGGGGTTGCAGTGCCAGGAAGAGAAGTACTCATAACTTCTGCCTGTGAAAACCACCGGGCATTGTGGCTGAGTAAGATGGAGCACTGCTCGAGTCATAGGTGTTCCTCTTAAGGGGCCCATAGAGGGACTGACTTGGATTCATTCGCTCTGAGCTCTAGCACTGGGGCAGCAGCTCAAACATAGGAGGGGAACTGAATTATCCAACGAGGGCTGGAGGGGCAACTTTTTCCCAAACAGAAGTTCTGGCTGAGGCCATTTTTCTTTCCTGAGCTCTGTCCTACACAGAGCTGGCTGGTGAGTGCCATATATGATTATCAATGTAGCTAACACTGTTTTCACTGACCTGGTGATTCCCTGAGACCCTACCCAACCCAACTTACAGGCCCACACAAATGTCTTCCAGTGCTGTTTCCATTCAAATGGGCTGTCTTAGTTCGTGCTTTGGATGTTCTTAAAATCTCTCAAGAATCCACAAACTCCAAACAAGCCACATCTGTCCTAAGTGTGCCCCATACTTCTTGCTAAGCAGCCCAAAGCTTAGCACCCGTGACAGTCATAATCTCGGTTTGCAGGTTGGCCTCTGCCAGGTACCCCAAAGCCTAGCACAAGTAGCAGCCATCTGCTGATCACTTTGTACCTTGTGCTGGGTGGCCCCTGCCAGGGCACAGTCAGCAACTGACCTTGGCATGCACCTCCCAGGAGGCCCTAGAGCCAATGTACCCAGCGGACAGCTTCAGACTACACCAGAGTACCACCCAGCCACTTCTGTGTGCAGCACACTTAAGAGCAGGACTCATTGGACACCAGAGCCCTATTGAGGCAAGTCCTGCTTCATAGGTTCAGCCCCTGCATGGTAGATTCTCTGTGCCAATGCTCACAACCAGTCAACCTGATGGTAAATCCCTCCCATTGATGAGCCAACAACAATTAAGGCTCAACTTCAACAGGAGGGTGCACACAGCCCACATAGCGGGGCAATCAGGAGCACCCAGCTCAGGTTACTGGGGAGGCTGTGCCACTGGGCCCTACAGGATACTTTCTACATAAAGCCACTCTACCAAGGCTGGAAGATGTAGCATATCTATCTAATTCATAGAAACAAACCCAGGAGGTAGCCGAAATGAGGAGACAAATATGTCCCAAATGAATGAATACAACAAAACTCCTGAAAAAGAACTAAACAAAAAGACAGGCAATCTACCAGATGCAGAGTTCAAAACACTGGTTATAAGGATGCTCAGTGAACTTAGAGAAAGAGTAGATGAACTTAATGAGAATTTCAACAAAACGATAGGAAATATAAAAATGGAGTTAGAGAACATAAAAAAAAAAACCAGTCAGAAATGAAGGATACACTAACTGAAATGAAGAATACAGGGAATCAACAGTACAGTAGATGAAGGAGAGCATCGAATCAGCAATTTTGAATATAAGGAAGCAGAAGACACCCAATCAGAATAGAAAAAAAAATTAAAAATGAGGATATTTTAAGAAGCCTCTGGGACAACGTCAAGTGTACCTACAATCACATCATGAGGGTGCCTAAAGGATAAGAGAGAGCAAGGAATTGAAATCCTATTAGAAAAAATAGTGATGGAAAACTTCCTTAACTTGGTGAAGGAAATAGGTATAGAAGTTCAGGAAGCACAGAGAGTCCCAAACAAATGAACTCAAAAGAGGCCCACAAGAAGGAACATTATAATTAAAATGTCAAAGGTTAAAGACAAAAAGAATATTAAAAACAGCAAGAGAAAGGCAGGTAGTTACCAACAAGGGAGCTCCCAAAGACTGGTTGCTGATTTTTTAACAGAAACTTAGCAAGCCAGAAGGGATTGGCACAAAATATTCAGAGATGGAAAGCAAGCACCTACAAGTAAGATACTCAACAAAGCTATCATTTACAATAGAAGGACAGATAAAGAGCTTCCCAGACTAGAAAAAGGTAAAGGAGTTCATCACCACCAAACCAGTATTGCAAGAAATGTTAAAGGGTCTCCTTTAAGAAGAAGAAGAAGAAAATTAAAAATATGCATAATAAAATGGCAATTAATACACATCTATCAACAATTACTATAAATGCAAGTGGGTGAAATGTTCTAATCAAAAGATGTTGCTCAGACTGATGTCAAACAGTTTACTACCTATGTTTTCTTCTAGTTTTATAGTTTTGGGTCTTACATTTACATCTTTAATCCATCTTGAATTTATTTTTGTATATGGTGTACAAGAGTAGTCCAGTTTGATATTTTTGCATGTATCAGTCCAGTTTTCCCAACACTGCTTGATGAAGAAACTGTCATTTCTCCATTGTATATTACCTTCTTTGTCGTAGAGTAGTTGACCACACAAGGTTGATTTATTTCTGGGCTCTCTATTCTGGTTCATTGATCTATGTATCTGGTTTTTTGTGCCAGAACCATACTGTTTTGATTATTATAGCTTTGCAGTATAGTTTGCAATCAGGGAGCATGACACCTCCAACTCTGTACTTCTTTCTCAAGATTGCTTTGGCTATTTGTAGCCTTTTGTAGTTCCATATAAACTTTAGGATTATTCTAATTCTGAGAAGAATGTCATTGGTATTTTGATAGGAATTGCATTGAATCTGTAGATTGCTTTGGGTAGTATGGTTATTTTAACAGTATTTTTTTCCTAATCCATGAGCATAGTATATCCTTTCATTTATTTCTATCCCCTTAAGTTTCTCCACTGTCTTATAGATTCCAGAGTATAGGTATTTCACCTCCTCCATTAAACTTATTTCTTGGTATTTTCTTCTTTTTGATGCAATTGTTAATAGGATTGTTTTCTTAATTTTTTCTTCTGATTGTTTGTTAATTGTGTATAGGAATGTGAAAAGCTTCTGTATATTAATTTTGTATTCTGCTACTTTACTGAATTCTTTAATTCTATTAAGTTTCGGTGGATTCTTTAACGTTTTCTATTTTAATATCATGTCATCTGCAAATATTTTTTAATACACTTACAAATTTCCTCTTCTCCTGAATGTGAAGCATATGAAACTCAGGAAATTCATTTCACGGTTCCCATGCTTCACAGGTGCCCCTGACCCCACAGCTGGGGCCAGCATTGATGATGAAAACTGTTGGCACTTGGATGAAGAACAGGTGAAAGAACAAGTGAAGCTCTTTCTCTCCCAGGGTGGTTACTATGGCTCTGGAAAGCAACTCAATTCAATGTTTGCCAAGGTAAGCTGCGGAAAGGTTTTTTAAATTTTTTTTATTTACTTTTTTAAGTAAATGGAGCACAACACACTTTTGGCTTCATGCACTGTAGCCAGCTCATTTGCTCTAGCTGTACCAAATGCTTGAAACTAATGGGAAAGGTTGATCAGAGCAGACCGGAGCAGGCTGCATCTAGGCAGCCCTACTACCTTACCTCATCATGGTAGTTCTCTTCCTTCTGCTCCACTCTCTAAATGAGTTAGCATTGCTGCGGTTTTTAGCAATGAAGACTTGAACCCAAGATTACCTGATGAAGCCTTGAAGAGATTTTTGGTGCTGGGGGCTCTCACAGCATGTTTTCTTTCCTTTTTTTAAACATATTTAGTAGGGTATAATTCACACACATAAAATTCACCCATTTTAAAGTGTACAATTGTTATGCAAAGAGCTGAGGTCTGAGGAAACCTCAGTATATTATTGTTCATTGATTCCAAAGAAATAACCCGGACGACTGGCTGTGAAAGACAAGGGTTTATTAAGACTTGCGCACTGGCGGCGGCTGACCAGTAAAGTTTTCCACCTGGTCTGCAGATGGGCCACACAGGGGGCGGCCGGCCAGTGAAATTTTACTGTTACCCAGACTTTCCCATTACAAAGTTATATAGAGTACAGAAAACAAAGCAAAACTGGGATGCAGGTGGAGGCGGACAGGCTCGCATAC